CACTCGTTATAACAAAGAGAGATGATGATATAATAAAAAATAAATCATCAAAAGGAGGGGAGATGTTATAGAACTATCTATTAGCAATTAAACCTTTTAATTATATAACGATAAATAATATATGCACACACGCACACGCACATATATATATATATATATATTATAGGTTTTGTTTTCAAGCTTTTTCAAGGGGTGATTGTTAATTCTAAATAAATTGTTGTTAATATCTGAACAATAACTTATCATCAATATTCAAACATAATTTGTTAATATTTAAGAAACACGGTGTCAATTTTTAAAAGATCAATTTGTTCTTTGAGCATTGACAAATTATCAATATAAAATAATATACATATGTTACAAATTCAATTTCCAAATATTAGGTTGTTGCTCCTAAACAAGTTATTAATATTCAAACAATAATTTTTTTTAATCCTTGAAAATGAATTATCAATATTCAATAAATAAATTGTCAAGTTCTAAAATCTAACTTGTTATTTAAATTTTGACAAGATATCAATATTACACTAACTAAAATAATATATATTTTATAAATTTAGTTTCTATGCATTTCCATGAGTCCTTAATTTTAGACGAGTTGTTGTCAATATTCAAATAATAATTTGTCAATATTCAAACATCACTGAATAATTTTTTATAAGTTTGTAAGAGAAATAACTTGCCAATATATAGGAAGAAGGATACGGTAAAGTTAGACGATCGATCCCCCATATAAAATTGAAAAAATTAAACAACACAAAAAAGAAGGGTAGAATTGAAAACTACGTACGTAATCAAAACTTATTTAACGTTATGAATGTAAATTATAAAGTATATTATTATTTTTTTCAAATTGCATCTTAAATCTTTGTATCGCATAAGGATTGACGGCTCTACTAATACATGCATGCATATTACAAATATCTAGATAATAAATTTTATTAATAAAAACGTTTTAGCAACATTCAAGTTTAAAAAAAAAAAACAGCAAAATGCATTTCATTAAACTAAAACGGGAATACAGGAAGCAAATTTAAAAAACCAGAAAACGAAAACTAACATGCAAACAAGAAACTCAGCCTGTGCCTTCTCCATTCGCTTCCTGGAGGTGCTGGTCGTTATCAAGTTGATTCACCTGCTTCTTGAATGCTATATTCAAACCAGTGCAAGGCCTTCCAAAAGCATTTGTGGTGTGATATGAGATAAATGGTGTAATATAAAATAAAATATAATTAGATTTAATCTAAGATATTAGAGTTATTCAACAGGAATATTTAAATAAAAATATTAATTTATTAAAATCAATTTTGATTATTTATTTTATTGTTATTTTAGATATAAGTATCTTTAAAATTTAATTTAGATTTAGGATTTTTTATTTTAATTTAAATCATTATTATTTTATTATTTTAAGATTTTATAAATAGAGTTGAAAGTTTTTATTGCTTTTAAATATTATTAAATTTTTTTTTAAGTTTCAATATTCTTTCTTATTCTTTCTTTCTTCCTCCTCTTTCTCTTCTCTCTCTTCCTCTTTTTCCTTCCCGTTTTCCATCAATTTGTATCAACAATTTAAATGAGATGCGATGTGCTGAGATGTAATTAACCGAAATGTATCCTTGTATACATTTGCTTTAAAAAAAAAAATTACCCAAATATCTCACCCACGAATTCATGTGATCAAATCATTAACAACAGCCCTGACTTTGTAGACATTGTCCTCCAAAGTATTATTTGCTTCAACTTTTTTCTTGCGCCTTTCTAGGATATCAAATAATAAAATAAAAAATAAGGGAGAATGAAAGTAAAATACTTTCAAATTGCATAAATGACAAATAGATATCACGAGATAATTGTTTTCTACTCCCTAATTTGTGTATCATTTTGGTTTTTTTTAAAAAAGAAATTGACATATTTACCCTTCGCTCAACCATTTCTTCCCTGTGTCTCCACGGCTCCCTCGGCACCAACCTCTTCTTCCCAGGGACAAAAGAATGTCGTGGGGTCTTGCAATTGACCGAAACTACCGAGTCGGATAATGAAAGCAGCAGGAAATTCTAGAGTTGATGAACAAATTAAAGCTTCAAAAATTTCCTACAGTACCGATTAACCCCTTCAGTCTTTACATCTGCAAATGATTGCGAATAAAAATATAACAACAGCATGCATTTTACATTAAAAAAAGGGCAAAAGCATATTTTTGTCCCTTAATTTTGGGGTAGGGTTCACTTTATTAAGTTTATTAAATTTCATGTCAACCCTTTAACTTCTAAGATCATAACAAATTTTTTCCAAATCATGACATCGTTAAATTAGTTGACGGAAAATTATAATTTTCATATTTAAAATCTATATTATTACTATTATTATATTTTAATTATTCTAGTAATTATAATTAAAATAATTTTAATGCTCAAAATTATCAATTAAAATATTTATAATATTTTAATTTAAGAATAAAAAATGACAATATCATAATAAAGAAACTCTTTTTTTTTTTTACTACCTTGAAATAAATAAATTTTTGTTTTGAGGTTGTAAATATTTCGTTTCCTTTATATTTGCTAATAAAAAAAATATCTTGTGACCAATTAAGTATGGGAACATTTCAAAATTTTCTATTGTGAATATATGGCATTCTATAGAGACAATTATATCCCAAATACAATTTGACACTAAATGCAAACATCTTCCCAGCAATTGAAATTTCAACTTTTTTTTTTATTGTACCATTATCCTCTTAATGAAACAATCTTGTTCAATTTGCAGCACAATTAAACATTAAATGTAAATATCTCTTCAAGAAATATTTGAATCTTAGTTCACCACACCATGAAACTTTTATACTTTTTTTAATACAAGGTCACGGAAAATCCATGCAAGATAAGAACAAAAATCAGGTCATGTTAGATTCTATAAGGGATCTGTATCCGGAAAGTAGATGGTTAAAAAAAAATAAGATATAAATTTTCTTGAAAGGTCTAGTGAGCGAGCATGTCAACACATTTGTTAGCTTTTTTGAACGTGTGGTCTAAGGTAATGATTCAATTTTTCATAATAAAATCTCTGACTTTATTGATAGTTTCTAAGAGTGAGTGTTAGAGAGATTACGCTGAATAAGTAAGAGAGCTTTCATTAAATTAGAATGTATAGTGATTTTAGTGAATCACGCATTCCAACAAAACTAAAGCCCTTATAGAATGCCTAGGAGTTTTGCCATAGTACTAGATTGGTAGCTAAAGTATTTGAAAAATCCCTTAATTCAATTACTTTTATCATTATGTATGATGTCACCACAAGTCATAGCTCCATTGAAATTAACAACCTTGTCAATGTCAAGACAGATCCAACCTGCTTCTAGAGCTATCCATCATGCCTATAATCTTTTATCATGGTGGCTAAGGATATTAACTCTTGATTGAAGCCTTATATTATTAGTAACTTACTAGGTATTAGAAAAAGCAATGTCGATGTCTTGGTTGATTTCCTCTAGATAGATCTTTTTGCAATGTGCCTTTCAAATGTTCTAATAGACCTGAGTGAAAAGAGTCTACCAAGGGATTCTTCTTGTGTTTAGGTTGTTGGCCTTAACTTTCACATCTCAAATTATTCAATCCTGCATAAAAAGGGAGAAAAAAGTGTTAAGTTTAAAAAGTTCTACAAGTTTAATCCAAAACATTATGAGCTTCTTTGCAATTTCACAAAATATGAATTGAGGAGTCAAGAGAATTGTATCCAAAAGTGCAAGTTCGTTGAAAAGGAGTACTCTCTTCAATATATATGGAGTTGATTTGGAGTCTGTCCCATGTAGCTTTCTAAAGAAAGTACTTATTTTTTCATACTTTTAAATTCCCAAAGAAATTCTTATACTTTTAAGTTTATGTGGGTTTAATTTCCCAACATTGTTTAAATAAATAAAAATTATTAAAAAAAACTTATATACCAAACCTTATATATTTACCCTACTTATTTTTAATTAAATCAAGACTTATCTATTATTTATAAATTATTTATTTTATAATAAATTTTTGTCATTAATATTATTAACACATGAATTAAAATAAAAAAAATGAGATGTTGAAATGTATAAAAATTATGTTAGACTAATTATAATCAACCGCAATGTACCAACCCTTGTCATATCTTCTGTCCAAAAGAAAACCCTGTCATATCAAATCCCCATAACAATCTGATGACATTGACTCAAAAGAAGCAGCCAAATTAAGTTTCAATTCTGCTTTCCAAATCTTCTTTACTTTAATTTTTCTGAAAATTTTTATTTTAATTTTAAAATAATGCAATTTGTAATCATTTAACTTTATTTCAGTTATCAATTTAATCTTTTAAATTTAATTTTTATTAATTTAAACTTTTAAGTTTACTTCTCAATTATTAATTTGGTCATTCTTGTTTAAAAATAAGGTTACATGTCAGTTAAAACTTATTAATATAGATAATAGAATATATAAATATTAAGGTAGAAAACAAGATTAATTTTGTTAAGAAAAAACAAGAGAACAAAACACAATGCAAGAAATTATATTGATAAAAATTAAACTAATTTAAAATTTAATTTATTCTCATTTAACTACATATACATACCAAGTCATTAAGATATTTTACACATTGTATTATTTTAAAAGTCAATTTATATTTTGAAACTTAAATGACTCATGATATTTAAGAAAATATCAGGAACCAAATGGATAAAATTAAATTTCATGAACCAAATTGATGATAACTAAAACAAACTTAAAGGATTAAATTTTTTATATTTCTTTAATTTTTCTGTTTCTTTATTCCCGAAGAATGTTTATGATTTGCTATCCATACTTATAATTGATCTGTACTTATAATTTTCAAAAGAGGAGGGGAAAAAACAACTAACATCAACTTCAATTCTTCACTTGGATAACCCCACTTTCATATCAACCACATCGCTTAATTATAACCAAAATGCATCAAGTGCGTCGGTGTATATATATATATATATATATATATATATCACAAAATGGAAATTAGCTAACTTTAATCAGAAATCAAGTCCTTAAGATTCTGAACTCAGAAGTAGACTTGAGTCAAAACCACAAACAAGCACACACTCCCCCTCGCCCCAACAAAAACCAAACCACAAACACAAACTAATCAAGGTCCATACAGAAACAGCCACACCTGTCATATGCTCAGATTTGCTAAATTTTTTACTATGGATTTCCATTTTTTCCCCTTATTACTCGAGACAGCACCAGAACGATCGGCAGAAAAATCCCAATCTTGACTCATCTTCATTATAATAGGAATCATGATTCCCTCGAGCTCTTTTTTCTCATGATCATACTCATAAACTTCAGCAAGCTGCTGGACATCAAGTAATTGTGAGGCCTTTTCAACCGTATCCTTAATCTTCTTCTGGTCTGATGGTAAAAGCTTTAAGCCAATCTCCTCGTCATTTATAAAAGATTCGATGTCGTAGATATAGATCTCCAAAGCATTCTTTGCTTCAACTTTCTTCTTGTACCTCTCATCATCAGCTTTGAATTGCTCTGCTTCTTGTACCATCCTTTCAATTTCTTTCATTGGTAGTCTACCTTCTTTATTGATTATGGCTGTCCCATTCTTGTTACCTGATCTAGTTTCCTCAGCAGAGACGTTTAAGATGCCATTGTCATCAACAGAAAAGCAAACTTTAACGTTAGGAACACCCCTTGGTTCTTGGGGGAACGTCAGAGTAAACTTACCTAGCAAGTTGTTATCCCCAACCCTTGTTCTCTCACCCTCATAAACACAAAATTCTGCTTTTTTTTGGTTGTCAACCACAGTAGTAAACTTATCTACTGATATCGTTGTGGGAATGCTTGTGTTCCTTGGGATTATTATGTGCATGAGACCACCCTTTACCCCAATCCCTAAGGACAACGGATTGACATCTCTCAAGACAATACCCGGTGAATTTTCAAATACTTGTCCACTTAATATGGCAGCTTGAACAGCAGCACCATAAGCAACAGCCTCATCAGGGTTGATGCTCCTGCATAGATGCTTCCCACCGAAGAAGTCCTGTAATAGTTGTTGAACTTTGGGAATTCTTGTAGACCCACCAACAAGTACAACCTCATCAATTTTGCTCTTGTCCATCTTAGCATCTATAAGACACTTCTCCACAATTTCCAAACATTTTGTAAAAAGGTCTTTGTTCAGTTCCTCAAACCTAGCACGGGTGATAGTTGAACAAAAGTCAATGCCCTCAAATAAAGCATCAACCTCAACGTTTGTCTCTAGAAGGGATGTGGATGAGAGTGTTCTTTTTGCCCTCTCACATGCAGTTCTCAACCTCCTAAGGGTCCTCGGACTTTCAGTAATGTCCTTCTTATGCTTCCTCTTAAACTCTTTCACAAAGAAGTTCACCATTCTGTTGTCAAAGTCCTCTCCTCCAAGATGTGTGTCGCCATCAACAGCTTGAACTTCAAAGTCACCCTTGTTAATTGTGACAAGTGACACATCAAAGGTACCTCCACCAAGATCAAACACAAAAATATTTCTCCTTCTATCAAATCTCTCTTTCTTATCAAGGCCATATGCAATGGCCGCAGCAGTGGGTTCATTGATTATTCGCAATACGTTGAGGCCTGCAATTTTGCTGGCATCTTTGGTTGCTTGACGTTGAGAGTTGTTGAAATAAGCCGGCACGGTCACAACTGCATCTTTAATTAGTGTACCAAGATATGTCTCTGCAATCTCACGCATTTTTGTTAATATCATGGATGAGATTTCTTCAGGTTGAAAGTGCCTTTCCTTAGATTTAAAATTTACAACAATTTTGGGCTTGTCATTGGCACCACCAATGATCTTAAACGGCCAAAGATTCATGTCACTTTGAACAAGGGGATCACTAAATCTCCTACCAATCAACCTCTTAGCATCTGCAAATTATTAATTAGATAAAACTAAATAATTAGTTTGGCAAGAGAGAGGGTCATATCCGAAAACTAGCCAAAGCCATGTATAGTACAACATCCTCTAAAAAAATTATGAATGTCAATTGAACTTTTGGTGAATAAAATTAATTGGGAATTAACGGAGTACAATTGCAAGAGGTCAAATCCTAATTCCTTGTTATTTATGAAGATTCAGAGCTTTTTATATTCAAAAACCTGTTTTAATTGAGGAGTTCATTCTTTACTTTTATGACCTGAAATGCAATTTCTAAGTCGTACCCATATTCGACTAACGTATTATATTAATTGTAAATTAAAAATAAAATACAGTCAGGAAAGAAACCAACTTCAAAAAATTATGAAAAACATTATCAAATTGAAGAAGTTTTTTTATTTTCTTGTTATTTATTCACATTACTGGCTACTATATATTGTTTTCCAAAGTTCAATTCAGCGAACAATTGATATATTTAGGGGGGAGAAAAGGAAAATTACCAAAGACAGTGTTGGTAGGGTTAAGTGCAGCTTGGTTCTTAGCAGCATCACCAACCATCCTTTGAGTGTCAGTGAAGGCAACATAAGACGGCGTCGTTCTGTTGCCTTGTTCATTCACGATGATCTCTGCTCGATCGTGTTGCCATACTGCAACGCATGAATAGGTGGTTCCAAGATCAATCCCAATGGCTAGTTTCTGATGCGAGCTGTCACCCATTCTCCTTTTCTCTTTCACTTTCTCAGTCTGAGAAAGAAGAGAGAATTCTTGAAGATTGGGAACTGGGAAGCTAAGTGTCCATTATAATAACGCAGCGAAACTGAGATTCATGAAAGATTTTGTCTGTTCAGTTTTGCTAAACTGTTCGAAGACAAAAGAGGCAGATAATAAAGTTGAAGTGACGAACGTGGGCATCAAAGGCGGTGGATATCAAGAGCAACGACATTAGAGATACTCTTTGGTCTAAGAAGCAAAGGCGTGCGGATGCTAAGAAGCCACCATGTATTATGCATGCATCTTCGTTATATATATATATATATATATATATATGCATGTGGCACATGTGTATTTATTGTAATTTTTATTTTCAAGTACATAATTAGATGAGGGAGAATGACACTTAAATTGTAAAAGAAAAATTAATGATAATAAATTTTCAATTAATTTTTTTAAAATAAATTGTAAATATCAATTTTAAAAGTTTTATCTTTTTGATTCAAAAAATACTTCCTCCGGTGGCGCACCCAAGTTGACAAAAGTGGGGGGCTGGGGGAAATTGCTATCATTAAATTAGCAAATGTTTCATTTACCTTCATGTTAACTTTGTACTTGCTCCCCTTTTAGAATTACAATTGTCCCCACAAAAAATTAATATATTGCCCCATACTTTCTTTAAAAGACTAAAATTTATCTTTAGTTATTTAATTTTACACAACATTATATTTTAATCAATTAATTTTATAAAATATCTTTTCAATCTTTTAATTCTAATATCATTAGTTTTATCGATAAAAATTTTTTACATTAAATTTTTAAATATTAACAAAATATTTTTAAATATTAACGTATTAAGTTTAATTTTTTAAAATAACAATAATTGATATAAAAAATATTCATTTGAAATTAATAGTATTAGGATTAAAAGGTTAAAAAATTACTTGTTAAAATTAAAGGATGAAAATGAATACTTATATAGTTATATATAGTTAGAGAGGACCAAATGTACATTGTAGCCTATTTAAAAATATTTTTTATCTTTTATTTATTATAAAAATAAATTTATGATTTATGATATAAATGAAATTAATATATATTTAAACTTCTCATATAATTGATTTGCATATTTATATTTTATTGAAAATTATTAATATTCATGTTTGGTATACTCCATTATAATTTTTTTTATTCAATTGCCCAATACTCTAAGAAATCTAGGAATATTATCACATGCCACCCAAACTAATCCAAACTCTTGTTGTGTGATACCATTATTATCAATGACAACCTCTTACAAGTACCTCATGTAAAGAGTTGGGCAAACAAACTCAACCTAACCAGCTAACTTGTTAGCCTATCACTTTTGGCAGGTTGAGTTGAAAAAATAAACTCATTTTTTTTAAAAAAAAACAAGCTAAATTAGCTCAAACCATGAAAAGTGTGAGCTAAATAAGGTTAAGCATGCTAGCCCTTTTTATTTTGTTGTTTTTTGTTATTCTTTTCTAAATCCCCACCTAAGCCTTGCTTGAACTCCAGCCCAACAAAGTGAGTCTAGGACCAAATCCAAGCCAATTTCACCCAAAAGAGAAAGAAATTAGGTGTACTTTGTAGGCTAGCCTAATGTACGAGTTGGGTTAGATTTTCCCAATCCATTTATCTAACAAGCTAGCCTAAACCTTGCTTGTTAAAACACCAACCCACATGGGCTGGCCATAGCTTATTTGCCTAGCTCCTAGATGCTTTGCCATATTATTTAATGTGATTGCACAATTCAAAACTTAAACTCGGGATCTTGGAATAAATTGATTCACTTCTCTCAATTAGTTGAACTAAGAGTCCATTGATTCACTAATAAATTTTCTTATGTTTGTCATTATTCCCATTAATTTCACCATCATTTTAAATAATTACTCCTAAATATCTAAATTTCTTATTTATGGTATGATCTAATCTCTTAATCTCACTTCTAAATTACTATCAACTTAGCATAACAAAATGATAAAAAATTTAGTTGTCATTTTATTATGCTTAGTTATTAATGTACTTTCTAGTATTTAGTCAAATATAAAAAGCCATCCAATGTAACGTAGATTTGAATTTACAACTCAAATTCATTATTAGAGTTTAAAAAGTTGCTATCATATATTATGTAAAACAAGTTATAATAAATCCACTTAAAATTGTTCTTTCTGTTTTTACATGTTACTCCTTTATAGTTTTCACACACACACAAACCGTATCTCATCCAACATAAGTCACTTTTAACTACTCCATCAAAATCAATAAAAAATAGTTAAAATATTTATATCGTTTCAAAAGGCAAGAAATCTCTGAATTTATACTTATTAAATGCGCCGTCATAAAAATACTTTCTCTTTCAGGTAATTTTTTACTTTCTACTCATCAAAAATTATAAAAAGATAAATTTAAAAATAATAAGTAATGATCAACTCTTTTATGCAAAGTAACTTATAAAAAATACTTTGAATTTCTTCTAGAAGGTGATTTATATATAGGATTGAAGGGGATAACTTATTTTCAATTTAATAAATGATTATTCTAGATTTTTTCTTTTATCCAAACTAAGAATTTCTGTAAGCGTAATTTTTATTTTCAAATGAATAATTTGTTTTTGATTTTTTTTTTTCGGGGCCAAACTAAGATTTCCTTTAGCAGAAGTAGGGGTATATTTATTGATACTATGATATCCTTATCTATTGATACTATCTTCAACAATGTTGGAAGCCCCACAGTCTATCTAAAAACTTCTACATTCCTTATGCAAGTCCCCATAGTCAACAAGTCTGCCTTTATATCACTTCTCACTTAGAAAATAGTATTCCGACACACCTCGTTGACTAAATGCCTGTATCCTATAAATTCTAACTTTTGTCCATTCCTTTATTTTGTAATCCAAACTTTTATCCATTTCTATTCCCTACAAATATTAAGATAATATGCATTAATTAAAAAAATAAAATAGTAAAAACAAAAAATATATTCAAAGTATAAATTATAAGCTTAAATTTAATTATAATATTAATAAATGCAATCTGAAATTAATTAATTAGTTAAGATATAAATTATAATTAAATATATTAATTATTATTTAATTATAAATAAATTAATTTAATTAATTATAATTAATGAAATTTTAAATTATAAACTAATATGCATAATTAAATTAAATATTATTTTAGTTATAAATATACTAGATAAATATATTCATTCTATTAATTAAAATAAAAATTAATTATAAATATAGAGATTTATATTTAATTTAATAATAAATAGTAGTTTTACATACTAAATATTAGTTTAATTTATATTGATTAATATTTTTTAAATTAACTCAAAATAAAATATTAATTACGATATTTACTTTAGTTACAATAAATAAATAAATTATATTTACAACATATAATTATAGTAATCTCAATTTAATTAAATTGATCACTTATAGTTATATTCATACTCAATAAACTTAACTATGATTATAAATAATTATAAATTAATTATAAATATAAGATATAATTATTTGAAAATAAAATCTTATCAACCAAAAATTCACCATGTGCTTGGCACATGGTAAGCAAGGCCATCATCAATTATGCTTCACATGAAACAACAGAACCGGAAAAGCAAGCCTAAATCTATCAGGCAAAATGAACTCTCACCTCTATTTGGCTGTAATTCCTCCCTTTATATATCCTGTAAATTTTGGCATAAAATATGTTATCATCATGCATTGAATATTGATACACATGTATTCATTGCAAAAGTTTCAAGACTTCAGAGTTTGTATAGGTAATCAACTTTTGGCTTTTAGAAAGTGCTTTAGAAACTTTCTGAATGCCAAAAATTGTTTGAACATTGTTTTCATACTCAATCCACATTCTAAAAGCACATTATGAAAGTTGAGGAAAGTGGATGTGCATATGTAACTTGTTAGTAGCTTTTGAAAAGCACATTTGGAGGTTAGGAATTAATGAGGGAATTATATGTGTATCTAAATTTTGAATTGACTACGCTACCACTAATTACACTTCCAATTCAGCAAGCAGTGCAGAAACTATTATTTATGCATCAGGTGTAATGCTGCAGATTTTCAAAATGGTTTATACCATCTCCACATATGACAAAACATGATCTTCCTCATTTGCAGAAAGTTTCCGAACATTGCAGCAAAATTCAAATCTTTATTTAGGGTAACTACAATTTTCAAAAAGGTTACACGCACCAACAACTTCTATCTTTAACCTCTTAGTATTATCAGTATGGCGAGTAACCAAAAGAAGACAACTTAGCTGTTCCAAGAACTTGAAATTTTTTAATACCAGTTGCACAATCTGCTGATAATATCAAGAAGTTCCGGTGGCTATTATGCATGCATATTTTTCAACAATAACACACATCTAAGTCACTGAAATATGCAGATATATCGGCCAAAAGTGCTCATTTGATTGGGGCGGATAGGAAATCTCTGAGTTCTGTTCTAAGTGACACTACGTAATTGCTCCAAGTTTTTGCAACTTTCTATTTCAAAAAGAAGCTGGTTTTCAATGCCTTCAAATCATGGGGATTCACTCAAAATCCATTGTGCAGATTTTGTAAAGGTTTGTTTTTCATTATAAAAATAAGAAGAGATGAAAGACTACTACAACTAATCTTAAGTGATAAAAAATGCTTGATATACATGGAACTAAACCCTCCCAATAACAAGATAACTTAAACTTATCCCTCCAAATAAAAAGAACAAAAAATTGTTACCAGTTATATATGCCTTACGAGAAGTGTGATTAAGTCACATATGATGGTTGTATATCCTATTTTTTTCATAGCTCAAATCTTTTAACTTTAGAAAATAAATTTTCTATAAACTTATTACATTTTTATTCTTAAGAGTAATAGGGTGCCATCAATAAAAAAACAAAACAAAAAGAAATCAAAAGAAAGCAAGAAAGATATTCTTAAAGGTTTTGTCCTCTCTTTATGGAAATGAGAGTGTGCTTTGACATTGCCTAAAAGGAAAAAAAAAAAAACAGAGTATTGCAGTTCATCACTGAGCGGCAAAATTTAGAAGCTGGAGACATGCTTCAAAGTCAAATATCAATATTAATGCCTTTGATCAAATACAACTACAATTTAGATCATTCGACAAACTTGTATCGACATAACATGGGTTGCAACCATTTCATAACTATATACGCATGCTTAAAAAATATGCTCTGCAGGATAAAAGGCTTATGTTTCACTAAGACCCAGCCCGTCCTCACTCCACTATCTACTCTATTTTATTCGTTTATGAAGATTTAACTACACCAAGCCCTTGTTTTTAAATGATCACACACACTCATCTCTTACCTTTCTTGTATTTCATTGCAGACTTGGACAGAAATAATAGATTGCCGACACAATAAGCAGCCTTGAAAGTAAGTGATGTAACACACACACACACCCACACTCACACTCACACTAGCACTAGTTCAAACAGAAAAGAAAATGGGGGATGAAACAGAACAGGGAGTTAGATGGGGAGAGAAACGAGAACAGAGAGAGAGAGAGAGAGAGGAGGAAGGACAGAACTGAGAGGGAGAGAACGCAGACCGGAGGGAGAGAGGGAGAGAGCATTCAGAGTATCTCAAATAAGTTCATTTATCAAGTCTGCCTCCAAGTTGCAAAGAAAAGTCTGTATATAAACTTGAGGTTTCCTTTTCCACAAGGAAATATCCACTTACAGCCCATTTAATACATGAAATGATAAAACAACGCTGAATAAAGTAGAGAGAGAAAGTAGTATCATATAAAGTTAAGATTCCTTCTTTTTTTCTCAGCAAAAGATAGGTTCCTTCCACTGAAAGTTTGTTCAAAATATATTAATTCCTATCCTTCATCTCTAAGGAATAGACTAATGCACAAGTCTTATCCTCAATTTCTAAGAACTCTACTGCTTTTATCCATGTGGTTGTCTTCTCAATAATGTTGTACAGAAATAATATAGCCTGTAGTGTTATAAGTAAAGTTATGGTTCCTAACATGAAATTGTAACTTATCATTGTGAGGAAAAAATGGTGATGATGATGTAAGTAATCGAAAAGGAAAAAATTATACACGTGAAACTCTTCCAGTTCATGGTTCCCCAGTCTAAGAATTTTATATTTTTATTATTGATACCCATAACATGATATATGGACACTAAAGAGTTTCTTATTCAAGAGAGAAAAGAATAAAATGATTGTGTAAAAATACGTAGGAATTCAAAAGCTACAATTAAAAAAAAAAAAACTCTATGAAAGAAACTGAATCTGCACCTACAATTTATAACTAGTCTATTCCCTTAGTGGTGTCAGACACATACGCGTGGCCTTCAATCCGATTTCTACATAGCCACCTTTGGACATAAATTGGTGGACACCCAAAAAATAAAAAAATAAAAAAAAACTCACCTTCACACATTTTTTCCGTCCACACCCCCAATTATTATTATATTAATCATAATGAATGGTATGGATATGGTTAAAAAGAAAGAAAAAGATAAATATTAAGAAAGGACAAAGATGTTAAATACACGGAGACAAGATAAAAGCAATTTGAAACAAGATGAGTGGGGTCTCATGACTTAATGGGGAAGGGAGGAGCTAATTGCATTACAAGTCGGTCAAGATATGTTTGAATATGACAGTAAAGGACCACCACCATACATTTACACATCAGTGTTTATAAAAACAACACTGTGTATTGTTGGTCTTATTTTAAAGTCTGTCCTTTCCTTTTATGGTTTTCACCATTAAAAATTATTTTTCACTCGCTATAACAAAGATACATGATGATATAACAAAAAATAAATCATCAAATTAAAAGAAGGGGAGATGTTATAGAACCTACCTATAAGCAAAAAAAAAAAAAAACTTTGTAAAAAGAGCTCTAGCTTGATGCCATATAGTCTCCTCTTACTGAAGATAGCAAACATCCATCTTGTTACACATCAGACACTATATATATAGTGAAGAAAAAAAAACACGTGCTTGGCATATTCTGCAAAATAAAAAAGTGGGAGAATTACATTCAGGTCCCACACAAAAAAATTAATTACTACAAAGTCTATTAGCAATTGAGTTAAAGAAATTGACAACACAATCAATTGTTAATCTCTTTAATTCAATTATCACTGAATCTTGTAGTAATTAATTTTTTTGTGTAGGATTTCAATGTAATGCTCCCGTCAAAACACAAAATAAGAAATGCTTATGGACAAGCACGTGTCTTTTTTCTTTCTTCACCATCATTTCTTATTTCTTATTGTCCATAATCTAAAAAGAAAAGAGAATATAATAATCAAATTGCAAAACAACAGCCAACCAATCAAAACACGAACATAAATAAAACCAAAAAATCGCGTAGCAATCGGCTGGAACACCAAATAGTGAGCCGAAGAGCCACAATGAACTGACAAAAATAGAACAAAGTAGCAAATAAAATTACAAGCAACGCCGAAGAACCAACTTAAAACGAAGTAAAGAGCAGACAAAAGAGGCCGAAGAGTATTTGGAAACTTTCTGTGAAAAAGGAGAGGGAAAATGGCGAGGGAGCTTTTCGACACGAAATGCCATATGGATCCTAAATTTTACGTTGTCTATTGGTTAGAGAAAATATAATTTTTTATCCTTATATTTTATTCATATTTTATTATAAATCCTAACACCTTTTTGGTGTATTGTGAATCCCTATACTTTCATTTATCAGTGTTTTAAATCTCAAAATAAATAAAATGTAGGGTCTTTTGAGAGATCTAAAACACCGAAAAATAAAAATGTGGTAATTAAAATATATAAAAAAATGTAGAAATATATAGCAAAACACGAATAAAGTGTAGAAACCAAAAGTTATATTTTTCCTCTATTTTAATAAGAATTTCGGGAAAAAAATAGATATATCTAATCAGCTTAAAATACTTTTGTCCTTAAAAAAATCAGCAAAAATAATCATTAACCCTAAATATTATTAGTGTTTATAAAGTTATCAAATATATTTTTACTAAGAAATTTATCAATTATATTTTTTTTATTAATCTTGATATTTTCACTTTTAATATAATTGCTTAATTTTAATTTCTTTTTACTAATTTTTAATATTTTCGTGCATTGCACTAGTATAAAATCTAGTTATAAAATAAGTAAATATCAAATCATTTTTACAAAATAAAGATGCATTGTGATATTATACAAAATAATATCATAGTGATCTCGAGTTCGAACCTTATATACAATAACAATTAAATTCTTAATAAGATGGGTGGCCTTCTTTCAATCACCGATCAGATTAGTTTGAGTCAAATACTTGTGATACTAGAATTCAATTGCCCAAGAAAAAAAAAAAAAACTATGTTATATAAATGAATGGGCCTTAATTGTCATTCAAAAAAGTTAATTTGCAGTTAAAAGTAAGGGAGAATATCAATGAGGCCTCATAAAGACAATAATTGCGTGCGCCGAAATGATTTTGAGATTTTTTCACAAGCTGAATTAAGAATAGAAATTAAATGTTCTGTTTCAATTACTGAAATACCCTTGCTTTATTTTAAAAAAAAAAAGAAATTCCCTACCATTGCCACAGCCAACAAATAGATTATCGCCGCGCTAGTAGCCAAACTGCCGCCACGTACTACCAAACCCCTGACACCAACAACGTGGTCAACCATATATGGTCAATTCCAGAAATGGGTCAAGAGGGTTTGAAACGAGACCTTTTAGTTTTTTAAAATATAAAAGACAATTAAAGCAATTAAACCTTTTAATTATATAATAAAAATCACTTCCTTCATTAAAAAATATAAAATATTTTTTGAGAGGTTAAATATTTAAAAATATAAAATATTTTTAATCTTTTAAAATATAATTATTATTTTTTTTTCAAAAGTGCCTTTATTGATAGTAACTTTATATTTATTATAGAGTGCTTAATAGGAATAAATATAAAAAAATAAGGTTAGTTTGAAAGTAAGTAACTACTTTATTGAAAGGTGAGATTCAGTTAAAATTGCTTTATATTTTTCAACGAAGGGAGTATATATATATATATATATTATAGTTTTTTTTTTTGTAGAAATATGTATTGGAGGTTTTGTTTTCAAGCCTTTTAACGAGAATTGTTAATTTTAGATAAATTATTGTTAATATATGAACAATAACTTATCAATATTCAAACATCACTTATTAATATTTAAAAAACATCACTTATTAATATTTAAAAAATATGTTGTTAATTTTTTAAAAATCAACTTGTCCCTTGATTATCGACAAATTATCAATATTATATTGAATAAAATAATATATACATGTTATAAATTTAGTTTCAAAGCATTTTGTTATTACTTCTAAACAAGTTATCAATATTCAAACTATAGTTTTCCAATCCAAAAAAATGACTCATCAATATTCAATAAATAAATTGTCATTTTCTAAAAGCTAACTTGGTGCATGCGTGTTATCAATTATACGTTCTTATAGTATAATTTGTTGGAGTAATATATATTCTATAAATTTAATTTCTAAACATTTTCGTGAATCTTTAATTCTGGACGAGTTGTTGTTAATATTCAAATAATAATATATTCTCTCTATTAAAAAATGTAAGGTATTTTTAATTGAATCTCACTTTTCAATAAAGTAGTTATCTACTTTATAACTAACCCTATCTTTTTATATTTATTTTTATTAAATACTCTATAATAAATATAAAGTCATTATCAATAGGGTCACTTTGGGAAAAAAAGGTAATTGTTACACTTTGAAAGATTAAAAATGCCTTATATTTTTAAACATCTAACTCTTCAAAAATGCATTGCATTTTTGAACAAAAAGAGTATCATTTTCAAACATTACTTATCAAAATTTTGAATGATTTCTTATAAGTTTGTGTAAAAATAACTTGTCATCAATAGATAGGAAGAAGGATACAGAAAAGTTACACGATCAATCCACCGTATAAAATTGAAAAAAAATAAATTAAACAACACAGAAAAGAAGGGTGAAATTGAAAACTACATAACCAAAACTTATTTAATATTATACTCCCTTCATTCAAAAATATAAGATATTTTTAACTGAATCTTACATCCCAATAAAGTAATTACCAACTTTCGAACTAGCTCTATCTTTTCATATTTATTTCTATTAAATACCTTATAATAAATATAAAATCACTATCAATAGGGGTACTTTTGAAAAAAAGGTAATGATTATATTTCGAAAAGATTAAAAATACCTTATATTTTTTAATATTCAATTTTTCAAAAAATGTCTTATGTTTTTTAATGGAGGGAGTAAATATAAATTATAAAATATATTAGTTTTTTCCAAATTGCATCTTAAATCTTTGCATCGCATAATTATCGATGGCTCTACTTGTACGTACATGCATGCATATTACAAATATCTAGATAATAAATTTTATTAATAAAAACGTTTTAGCAACATTCAAGTTTTTTTTTTCCTTTTTTAAATCAGCAAAATGCATTTCATTAAACTAAAACGGGAATACAAGAAGGGGAAAAAAAACCCGAAAACGGAAACTAAACCAATTCAAAAGCAAGAAAAACAAAGAAAGCAGAGCATCTAACATACAAACAAGAAACTCAGCCTATCCCTTCTCGATTCGCTACCTAGAGGCGCTGGTCACTATCAAGTTGACTCACCTGGTTCTTGAATGCTATATTCAAGCCAATGCAAGGCCTTCCAAAAGCATTTGTGTCAACAATTTAAATAAAATGCCATGCGCTAAGCTATAATTAACCGTAATGTATTCGTGTATACATTAGAAAAACCTCACAAAATGGAAATTACCTGACCCACTAAGTCAAATGATCAAAATCATTTACAATATGACAACGATTACAAAAAAGCATATCCAAGTCAACCCACTACGATTTCCAAAAACAGAAGAAAATATCATATGTCAAAATCTTGACTCGGCTTCAATGTAATGAGATTAAAGACTCTCTCGAGCTCCCTCATTCCATGCTCATACTCATCAACCTCGGCAAGCTGTTGGTCTTCAACTAGCTTTGAGGCTCTTTCAACAGCATCCTCAATCTTCTTGTCTGCAGCAGAAAGCCCTGAGCCAATCGCCTCATTATTTACAGCAGCCCTGATTTTGTAGATATAGTCCTCCAAAGCATTCTTTGCTTCGGCTTTCTTCTTGCACCGCTCGTCATCAGCCTTGTATTTCTCTGCTTCTTGAACCATCCTTTCAATGTCTTCTTTTGATAGTCTTTCTTTTCCTGAAATTATTGTCATCTGATTCTTGCTCCCTGATTTAGTTTCCTCAGCCGAGACATTCAAGATACCATTCTCGTCAATAGAAAAACAAATTTTAAGCTTAGGAACACCCTTTGGTTCTGGGGGAATAGTGAGGTAAAACATATCCAGCAAATTGTTATCCTTTACCATTGCTCTCTCACCCTGAAAAACATTTAAAGGGATTATTGCTTGGTTGTCATCCACAGTAGTAAACTTATCAACCCACATAGTTGTAGGAATACTAGTGTTCCTTGGAATCACTACTTGCATGACACCACCATGTTTCTCAAACCCAAAGGACAATGGGGTGACGTCTCTCATGACAATACCTTGTAAATCTTCATTTCCTCGTCCACTTAAAATAACAGCTTGAACAGCAGCACCATAAGCAACAGCCTCATCAGGGTTGATGCTCCTGCATAAATCCTTCCCATTAAAGAAGTTCTGCAATAGCTGTTGAATTTTAGGAATTCTTGAAGACCCACCAACCAAGACAACTTCATCAACACTACTCTTATCCATCTTAGCATCCAAAAGACACTTCTCTGTAATTTCTAAACATTTTGCAAAGAGGTCTTTGTTCAATTCCTCAAACCTAGCACGGGTGATTGTTGAATGAAAATCAATGCCCTCATATAAAGCATCAACTTCAACGATTGTATCAACAACGGATGTGGATGAGAGTACTCTTTTTGCCCTCTCACATGAAGTTCTCAACCTCCTAAGGGCCTTTGGGCTACCAGTAATGTCCTTCTTATGCTTCTTCTTCAACTCGTCCACGAAATAGTTGACCATTCTATTGTCAATGTCCTCTCCCCCAAGGTGCGTGTCACCGTCAACTGCTTTAACTTTGAAATCACCCTTGTTTATTGCAACAAGAGAGACATCAAAGGTACCACCTCCCAGATCAAAGACAAAAATGTTCCTCTCGTGGTCATAACTATCTTTCTTGTCCAAACCATATGCAATTGCTGCAGCAGTGGGCTCATTGATTATTCGCATTACGTTAAGGCCAGCAATTGTGCCTGCATCTTTGGTTGCTTGGCGTTGAGAATCATTGAAATATGCAGGCACAGTGACAACTGCATCTTTAACTGTTGAGCCAAGATATTTCTCTGCAATCTCACGCATCTTAGCTAGTACCATAGATGAGATTTCTTCCGGTATAAATTGCCTTTCCTGTGATTTTAAATTCACGATAATTTTGGGCTTATCATTGTCACCGCAAATGACCTTAAATGGCCAAAGGTTTATATCACTTTGAACATGGGTATCACTGAATCTCCGACCAATTAACCTCTTCGCATCTGTGCAAAATATTAATATTCTAAATGTTTTCTATAAAAAAAAAAAAACTACATAAAGTAAGTTAAATATATGTACCGCACACCATCCTCCACAAAAGAAAACGATCCTATCACTTGAACTAGAAATGAATAAATTATATGGAAGAGATGTTGGAATATTCATAATTATTTATGTATTTGCATTAATTAATAAAATCAGACAGATTAATTTTTATGATTTTATGTGAACCATGATGAGTGAACCACATGAATAAGCTCAATGGGTAAAAACAACTTGTAACCTTATAACCATTAATTATTTTACATCTCTTAACTGGCTGAGTTAAAAATAATGCAAGATTTATTAATTTATTAAATTATTAAAATAATTATTGATTTAACCCATATAAGTCGATGAATTTATAGCTAAAACACGCGATACTTTTCACTTATTGGGATCCAGTGTGTTGTGAGTTTAGTTATATTCAAAGTATTCGAAGAGTAACAATTAGTTATAAATTTTTCAGGTATGCATATTATTTTACTTAATCTTATTTAATTTATATGAATTGAGGTATTAATGTTAATAAGAGAGAGAACCAAAACGAACTTTAAAATAAAATTATGAAAAACATGATCAAAAAGAAAAAATTAGAGGAGAATTACCAAAGATAGTGTTAGTCGGATTATGTGCAGCCAGGTTCTTTGCAGCGTCCCCGACCATTCTTTGAGTTTCAGTGAACGCAACATAAGACGGCGTCGTTCTGTTCCCTTGATCGTTCACAATGATCTCTACTCGATCATGTTGCCATACTGCAACACACGAGTATGTGGTGCCGAGATCGATTCCGATCGCTCGTTTCTGGTGCAACTTATCTCCCATCCTCTTCTCTTTCAAGGCAGTGGAGTTTTGGGACACTAAATCTGAGAAGAGTTCTTGGAGACTGGGAAATAGTTGGAACTTGCAAGTGGCTAAGATGCTTATAATGACGAAGCGAAACTGACCATCATGATAAGTTGTCTGTTCAGTTTTGGAGCTCTGTTTCGAAAATCAAAGAAGCTGAGATTAAAATGGGGGAGAGAGAGAGAGAGACGTGGGAATCAAAAGCAGCGGAAATCATCAATAAGATAAAAGAAAATCAATCATCAATATCTACACTTTTCTAACCATCAATCCTCAATATGTACAATAAAAGTTCGGTTTCCAATGCTTGAACAGTGGATTTTCCGTGATTCCCTCCTGCTGTTGCTTTTTTGGGCCCCACCGTGTCCCTCATTATGAAATTATCGAATTGCCCTTACGTTCTTGTTGCTGCTGAAGAGAGTAGTGAGTAATGATTTCACCGATTTGAACTGGCTTCATCCGGTCTCCTTCTCCGCGTCTCCCCGTACGAAGGTGCTGTAGTTTTCTTGGTTCCTACTAGACGTTTCGCTGGTCTAATCTATCCCTTGTTTCTGCGTTGCTTCCCTCCCTGCTTGGTGTGCACGAAAAGTTTCTCCTTTTTCCTAACGTCTTTCTCTGGTTGCTTCCTCCCGCTAATATTTTTCTTGCTCCCCACGACTTCTTCTCCGCGTTGTCCCACTTCGTACCTCTGTTCTGTAGAAATATCAATCGATTTCTCAGCCTTAAACTCTAGGGTTCCCATTTGCCTTACCGGCTTCCAGTATAAAATTCACATTGGCCCCAACATCTAGGGTTTACATTGCAGAGACAATCTACAATGTCTCAGAACGGCAAGCGATGCCCAATCTGGACCAGTAGAGCACCGAGTATCCCAACCTCAATGTTTTGCAACGAATCGATCCCTTCGTCGACGAAATTCTCATCACCGCCGCTCATGCCACCTTCTACAATTGTCTTTCGGTACACTCTTTGCCGCCTGATATGGGTGGAAATTCACTTTTTGGCCCCTACTCTGATTACAAAAAAGCTGAGGCAAACAGTGCTTTCCTTACATCTCTTCCATCACTGATCACTTCGTTGAATAGAAAATACTTCATCTACCTCCGTTCCTTGCTTCCAATTCCATATGGGTTACACTGAATTTTCCTTCTTCCTAGGGTCCTCGTTGAGCACACGAGAAGAATCGGAGTCATTGAGTGGGCAAATGTAAGCTGAGGATCTGATTGATGCCCTCCGCTAAGTGGACTGGTATCACCGCCGCATCCTCTCTCTCCAAATTCTTTTCGAGATTCACCGCAGCGAGATCCTCCTCTGAATGGAGTAGCCGCCTCAAATGCAACCAGCACGAGCACGATTTCCTTCTTGGGATTTGTAGTTCTCTTCCAAAAAAACACTTGATTTTGAGTTCAATTTGTACAGTAGCTGAAGGTATCTCCGTACTTTTACCCTTCGGTTTCTGTAAATTAAATCGGGCAGTGCTTTAACTAAGGAAGTTCAAAATCGATTCAGACATAAAGAATCGACTCAATCCAATTTAAATTGAAACAACTTGATTAAAACTGAACAATAATTAAATTTGCTTCAATTTTTATTATATGAGAATCGATTAGTTTAATTTAAATTCAGTTTTAAGTATTAGAAACAGAATTAAACCAAATCAAACCTGATTATTATAAAATATATAATCATTTATCTATAAAATATATAATCATTTATCTGCAAAAGTATTTTGTTTTAAATTTTTTATAATAATAAATAAATATTTTTAAAGGATTTGAATGGAACGCATAATATTAAATAATTATAATAATCATGTTATGAGCATTATTTAATTATTTACAACTTAAAAACTTCAGTATTCAATTTATTTATAAGAAATATTTTATTTTAAATTTTATATAATAAGTTTTTCATTATTTATTAAAATATAGATATATAGATAAATATTTTTAAAGGACTTGAATGAAAATGTATAATATTAAATAATTTTAATCTTAAAAACTTATATCAATTTTTATAATTAATTATCATTATCACATTAAAATTTTATTATATTTTTATACCTCTATTTATGAAAAAAGGAGCCAAAACGAATTAGGTTTAATTTTAATACATAACACCATTATGAAGATTAAAAAAAATTAAATAAGTGTTTGAAACTTGATCCAAACCCTAACTAAACCGAATCAAATCAAAAATTAAACTGAATCAAACCAAACTTTATAAAAATTGATCAAATCTCAACTATAAGTAAATCGAATAGTTCGATTCGGTTTGATTTTTGGTCAAAACTAAATCAAACCAAGCCTATGAACACCCCTAACTTTAATAATCCTCAATTTGGACTCAACGATTTAAGGATTCTCTTTCTTAATTTTTTTTTAGCAAATTCTCGATCAAACTAAACTACCAAATCAAATAGAACGGGCTAAAAATCTAAGAACCAAATGCAGATGTTTCTCCAAAAAATAAAAAATATTCTGGTACTAGCATTTACAAAATAAAAAAAATGACAATAAAACCCTTTAAAATTATATAAATAATAATATAATTTTTTAAAATGTCATAATTTTAATAAAGTATTAGGGTCTTTTGTGTTAATAAATTTTAGAATGAAAAAACTAATTTACCCTTGTTGAAAATAATAAGTCTCAATTATAATTTTTGTTTAAAAAATTACAACTTTTATCTTGTAAATCATAAGAGTTAACAAAAATTATAATTTATTAAGTGTAATTTTTATTATAAAAAAATAAGCTCCAATTACAAGTTTTATTTAAGGAATAGTAAATCACAAATAGTAAATAGGATCAGAAAGAATATAATTTAGATATAGTCAAGCTCAATTAACCCATTTTCAAATATCACTATCAATGTACATCACTTCTCAACTCGTGTCATGATTGCATGATACTCTTTCTATATCAATTTATAAGGTATTTTTTTGACAAAATTATACATATAAATGAAGTTGGTTAAATACAATTTACAATCTTAATTATTCTATAAACTTTTAAAAATATCATTTATTAATAAGAGAGAGAGGATGAAATTTAGTTAAGGAATGGCATAATAAGGTGTAATTTTGAAATAATTATTATTAATGTAATTTTAATTTTTCAAAACATTTTATATTTTTAGATGCAAGATCACTTTTAAATATATCTCATAAAAGAGGGAGTAAATATTTTGAGTTGTTTTCTTCCTAGTCTTCTTTATCTTTTTCTTCCCAACAAATGCGCAAAACCCAATGTATAAAAGACTTAAAAGTTATGAAACAAAAATCTCACGGTGTAATAAAACTGATCCACTTATTTTTTATATTAAATAAAGTCAAGGGGTTAAATATAAATATTAATTTAACTATTTTTATATTACCAAAAAAATTAAAGTATATAATTAGTCATTTAATTTCATATAATATTTTATTTTAATCTCTTAAATTTATAAAGTGTTTTTTTTAATTTTTTAACCCTAACACTGTAAATTTAATTTTATCCTAACAGATTTTTATATTAAATTTTTAAATATTAACAAAATATTCTCAGATATTGACATATTAAATTTAATTTTTTTACAATAATAATGATTGACATAAAAAATAATCATCTAAAACTAACAATATTAAAATTAAAGAATTAAAAAGATACTTTATAAAATTAAAAGACTAAATTAAAATATTATATAAAGTTAGAAGCCTAAAAATATAGTTTAACCTTATCAACAAATGTAATGTTTAGCCCCAATTTGCTAACGAATTGCATGGCCTTATTTTCTTCATATAAATTATCAAATTACTTAAATACCACACTTATAATAGTAAAACATATCAAACATTTTTTTTATTTAAAAAAATTATTTACCTGAGGGGAACCAAGCTTACTTTATTAATGTCTTACATTTAGTTTGAGAAAATTAGCTCAATAATTTCAAAAAGTATAACTCCTATAAATTATGGATGAGATTTTTAAATATTTTAAAATCTAGCTCATTTATAAAATTAATTAGATAAGTTTTTTCCTCTTTTATCCTCAGAATAATTTTATTATTAAAACAGAATATATCTGATTTAACTAATATTTAATTAATTGGATCTTTTATTTTTATCATCAAAAATTGTATTGTGTGTGTTTCCCCTCTAATTTATCATCTATCAATATTTTATTTATTAAATTTTTTGATCTAATTTTTCTGGATTATCATATTCATATTTCTTATCGTGTTTTTCTTCATCAAAATTTCTGATCTGATTTGCCTGAATCACCATCTTTATTGCAGAGCTTTTCCTCTCTCTCCCTCTTTATTTTTGCTAGATATTATGAAGAGAATATTAGACATTAAAGAGAAAACTTCATTTGTCACGCTCCAAAAATAGAGGGTGATCGATACAGGATGTGATCCACCACACATCCATTAAGCTTTAAATCAAAAAATTTTTCCATTATTAAACATAATCATGTTTATATTGATTTATAACATGCGTGACAAACGTTGTATTAATTAAAGATTTAAATTTCTTTTGTAGAAATTTTGGTAGAAATTCCTCTATAAATAGGATCTCTTGAAGACTCTACAACACAATATTTTACACAAAATATCATTTCAATTAAAAACTCAGCTCCTTCCAACTAGTAAATAGAATATGCAACAAAATAAAGAACCTAGATATAGACTATGTGCGGTGCCTAAATATAAATTTACAAAATAAAATTTAATAATTGAAACTGTACATCAAAAGAAAGCTTTTTCCTTAGCTCTTTCAATTCTAGTCAATAATAAACCCTTCAATATTCAACAAGAGGTTCAACGTCAAATACACTATCTGAGAACAACAAATACTTTCTAGTAAATAACGTCCCAATATTAATAAAATTTAAAAAGGATAGCATGAATAAATGACAATAATTATATAAATTAAAGAAACAACAATTTTAATTAGAATATTTCATGAACTTTGAACTTAAGAGATTATATATAGCCTTAAAGAAAATCTTAAACTATTAAATTTTTAATATCAAATATCATTATCACTTGATTTTAAGAAAGCAATAAAATAAAATAAATAAATATAGTGACCTCTACTAATTTAAATTAATGGAATATAAAATCACCAAATAATTTAAAAATCATATTTTCAAGAACTTATTAGAACAACTAACAAACGTGGACACATAGTCTATGAGGATAACTAACCAAACATAGTCGAAGTCACAAAATAGATGTGGATACACAGTCTATTAGAGTAATTAACTAGACGTGGTTGAAGTCACAAAACAAATACAAGTATGAGACTCATGAATAACAGACGTAAGAACAAAGCTCACAGAAATCAAACTAGCTAATTATTAACCATGGCATGCCAAAAGCTAACAGCTACTATTAGCAAACAGTGTTTTATATATAGTCCCTTTGAAAACAATTTTCAAACATGTGACATGGTAATCACTTTCAAAATATAAATCTATTTTTTCAATATCAAACTTGTATGAATCATTTAAAACATCAATCTTGTAAATATAAAAATTCATAACTAACATTTCATAAACTTGTTGACTTTATCAAATAAAGGATTACTAGAATTTGTAAAAGCATTTTTCATCAATTTAAAAAATAATTGTTATAACTTCAAGAACTAAAGTAACTTAATTAACAAAAATAATTAATACTAGCAATATATTGATACATGTAGATTATTTAAAATATTTTGATAAAAAGAAAATTTGTTAATAAATTAATTAGAATGTTATCTACTTTCCTACAATGTTCCCAATTTTTAAAGATTTTCTCCCTTCAACTTTTATTAAAATCTTTTTCTTTCACATCCCCTGTAAGAATATGAAATAATAAAATTTAATTAAATTCCTATAAATTATAAATATTTCTTTCCACTTCTAACTCAATCTCAAAATTAAATCATCATAAGACAACACTCTAACTTACAAATTTTCAACTATAAAACTCTCAAGAGTTTACTTAATCTCTCAATAACATAGATAAATTTTTTTACAATATTTGATTTAAATTTACAAATGAGCAACACCCAAGCTAATTTATGTTTCTTGCAAGATCTAACAAAATTATAAAAAAATACCTATTCAAGTATCTCCTATTAAAATTTTCAAGTTAAATTCATAAGATAATAATATTCTAACTAATTATGTCTTCTAATGAATTTAATGAGACTTTAATAATTGCAATTTCAAACAAAACTTGCCTAATAAGCATTTTATCAAAGACCTTATGGATATCACTTTTTAAACAAATACCAACATCTTCAATTTCACTTCTAAAAATTTCATAATGTGAATATCATAGTAAATAATCAAATCAAACTCAATTAAAACTTAAATCTATGTCATCACTTTTAAATTTAATTCAAACTTCCCCTTCATATTCGAATACACACACGCAGCCACGAGCATCAACAAACACACGAAAAATTTGCAATTTCAACTCTATAACATCACACACCCACAGATTTATCAAGGAAAAGAAGAGGTCAAAGTTGCTCACTTTAGATGAACCAACATAGCACAAACAGGGAAAAGAAAATGAAACCACAGCTGAACAGGGGAAGAAAATAACAGCATTAAATCAGCCTCCTATCCACGAATCAATCTTCCCATAGCATCATACTAGCTCTTCACTTGTTCGCCACTCACGAATGAGAAGAATGAAGGAGGAAGAAGAAGGTTCAACGGCACAAATAGGGGAAAAAAATGCAGAGATTGACGGCTAAGTGAAGGACCATGGATTCACGACTTGGACTACTAGCAGTGGATAATCAAGGCACATGTTTGCAACGCCAGCGACCTGATTCTCACACCCATCAACAACGCATGTGTGAATGACGAGGGCTGAGCAAAAAACAAAGGAGATAAACAGAGACAAGAAGCACGACGGAGAATCTGGGTGTGCGCAGCAACGGCGAGCCTCCACCTTCACCAGTCGATCACTGGAAATGGAAGGGAAGAGACGAAGTGCTGTGGGAGGATGAAGAAATGGCAGAAAATTGGAGCTCTCTCTTACTCGGTTCTGGGAAAATCGAAGGAGAAGAGGAAGATATATTTCAGATTTGAAGCAGGGGCAATTCGGTAATTTCATAAAGTAAAAAACAAAAAAGAAAACCCCTTTTAGTCTCAGCCAGATTTAAACTTGGGATCTGATGGTTGAATTACTTGCACAGCTCCTACAGCACCATTGTCATAATAGTCCAAATGTTAATAAAAATACACTTTTAGCACATTATTATATATTTTTATTTTTATTTATCAAGGTTATTACACCATTAATGATCTGCAATACTACATCAATAATATACTGCTGTATATCAATGATAAATAAATTAGTAAGTTTTCACTGATATTACTTATATATTAGTGATATATAATAGTATATTATTGATATACTAACGTAGATTAAAATAACCAGACAATTAGATATAAATTTATTTATAATTAATATATCATATATCAATGATGTATTATTACAGATCAGTAACACAAAAAACATATAATCATTTACCTAAAACAGATCAAACACAGTTTGCAAAAAATTTTAGATTCTTAACTTATTACAAAAAATCAAATACTTAAATTAATAAAATAAAAAATCATAAACCTGTAGCTCCGTTTTTTCCCATCGGCGTGCTTCATTTTGTTGAGTCCCATCAATGTATCTCACCTCATGTTAGTCTCTCACCATCGTGATCGTGGCTCACTCACACTGCTCTACTATCTCACGTTCATTTTTTTTACATCAAGTTTTGTCTTCTCTCTTGCATTTGTCTTTTTCATTTCAGAGATTTCTTGCATTTTGAATCTTCTAGTATTTGAAAAAAAAAACATATATTAAAAAGGACAGTTTTCTAAATTAATTATAATCTAAATATTAAAAAGAATATTTTTAAATTTTAAAAAATAATAAGGTATTTTTTATGTGGTTTTATAATATGGGTTATCTGTATAAAAGTTTTTTTTTTAAGCCACTACGCAATACTTTACAATATTTGCTTTTCCCTTTAGGTCAATTCCATCTCTTCTTCCAGGTCAAAAAAAAAAAAAAAATCCATCTTTTCTTTATTTATTCACATTCTTTGAGAAACATGCCCACTTGATTTATCTTTCACCATTGCTTTAACTTTAGTGCTTTTCCCTTTAGGTGATGATCATATCCTTCTTAAAAATATAAGATTCAAAAAAGAAGCTAAGAAAGCAATTGATTCAAATTAAAGAATTAAATATTTAAAAAATTAGATTAACTAAATTTATTTAAAATTTAAATAAAAAAATTCAAGGAGTGTAAAGTTATTATAAGATTTAACAACGCTCATTAATTATTAGGTTTTTTAAATGTTACTAGCTACCAAATTTTGAGAAAAGGAAACAATTTTATATAGTTTTTTTGTTAATTAACTAGTCAAGTTTAAGCGTTTAAAATATTTAGCTAGTGATTTAATTAAACATAAATACAACTATTACTTTCGAATGAAGGAGAAGGCAAAAAAAAAAAAAAAAAGTATATATGCTGATCCTCACTATAATTTCTTGAGAATTGGTCTCCCTATCTTCCGTTCTTGATGTTCTCCCACTAAAATAAATCTATCTTTTGTTTAACAAGAGAACCTGTACCTTGTGGCGTGGAAAATAAGTAGTCATCACTTGGGTTCATATTGGTGTTACTTTTGAAAGAGGATTAAAGAAAAAAAAAATATGCTGAAAATAATATTTTTCCTCTCTACTTTGTGACTCATGAGAATTTGTCACCACATCATCTTCCCTAATGACTTTATTCTCCCAATGAAATCAATTAGTCGTCTGATAAGAGAATATGTACCTTGTCGAATGTACAATAAGAAGCTATTTATTATTTTTTATGATTAATATAATTAAATATATTAAAATCTTATCGAATATCACAAACGCATATATATAGATATTAGGGACTTTTTTGATGTTGTTGTTGATTAATTAAACATATTAATTTATTAAGTTAAGCAGACCTAGCTAGTATACTTGTGTGTAGTTGAGATAAATAACACTGTTCATAGTTCATAATTTAACTTGAGAAAACATATTATTTTTCAGGACACCAAATCATCTTAAAAAATGTTTATAAAATGGGAGAGAGGGAGTGCATATTTTGAATTGTTTTCTTTCAAGCTTATACCCCTAATCCTTTTTTCTTCTCAACAACTGCACAAAACTCAATTTATAAAAGACTCAAATTAAAGAAGTTTAAAACAAAAAATCTCATGGTGTAATATAAGTGATGAGTGGTCCATCTATTTATATATATACTAAATAAAGTCAAGGTGTTAAAATATAAATATTAATTTAACCATTTTTTAATTACCAAAAAATGTAACGCTTTTTACCCAAAAAAACAAAACAAATGTATTGGTTTATTTTCTTCATATAAATTATAAAAATTATTTAAATACCCCACCTATAATAGTAAAACATACTAAAATTTTTTAATACAAAAAAACATAATAAGAAATACTTTATTTTTTTAATGTGTGATATTTATTTGTTCCATTCCCTTGACATTATTTACTAGCACATAGTAACTTTTTTTTGCTTTTGATATTCTACTAACATATAACTTTACTTTTGACGATTATATGATGAGTTAAATCTATTATATGTTAAGTCATTATTATAATCTGTAAAATCAATTACATTACTTATTAAAAACTTTAATATTTTCTTGTTATTTTTGAGAACTAAAACCAAAAAGAGGTAATTAAATTATTAATATTGTCTAACAAATTTATCAATTTACTTTTATTAAATACATCATCTTTAAAAACATTTTTCTTTCTGATAGCTTTTTACTCTTCACTAGTAAAAAAATGTAAAATGATTCTACCAAAAAAAAAAAGAAAAAATGATAAAGTTAAAAAAATGTAAAAAGGATAAATTGACTTGTAAAAAGGATAATAAATTTATTTTGTAAGATGACTTATATATAATACCAGGGAGTTTGTCACATAAATATGGTAAACAGAGCAAAGAAAATATTTAACACTTAGTAGATTACTAACATTTTGAGTATCCCAAATCTTGTTGAATGCATCATTTTTTTTTATTACTCATAAATATCCTTCTAATGGAAGCAAGGAGACAATGTTATCCAATACACATTAACTGTAGGCACTTTTTCAACAAAGATTCAAATTTTAATTCAGCACATTACAGTGTACTAATTTTTTTTACTAGATCCAACCCGACCTCGAACCCGTTGGTAGAATGTATATTAATGCGGTTAATTCTTGATTTGTCTAGGGACGAGCTCGCAGCGTCACTCCTTTCTCCACCTATCTAACTTTTAACTTTGCCGCAGCTTTGATACCCACGTCCCTGTGTATCTGCGATTTATATATGCACACAGAACTGAACAGGCAAAAAAGTTAAGAGAGTCTCTCAAAACATCTGGCCGAGACCTTTTCTTCTGGGTCTGAGATACATCCAAAACTCCGGTGATCTCTTGAAAGAGAAGAGAATGAGTGAGAAATCACAGAAACTAGCCATTGGAATAGATCTTGGAACCACCTACTCGTGCGTTGCAGTATGGAGACACAATCAGGTGGAGATCATCATCAATGACCAAGGCAACAGAACAACGTCGTCTTATGTTGCCTTCACTAATGCTCAAAGAATGGTCGGTGATTCTGCCAAGAACCAAGCTGCACTTAATCCTGCTAATACTGTCTTTGGTAATGTTGCCTTCTTATTTTCTTTTTTTGATCTGTTGACTAATTACCGCTCCAGACTTAGTAAAGCAGATATGATAATCAAAGTTTTTATATATATATATATATATCACTAACCATAATATAAATATTTCAACACATGTATTTATATTTAATTTTACAAATATATAACATGAATAAATATGTGCTTTCATTTTTTAAATTTTATTCATTGATTTTTCATGGTATAAACATGATTAATTATTGTGTTTATCATAAACTTTTTAACAATTTTCTTTTCAATATAAATTATCATTAAATTAGTAAAAATTTTATTTTCTCAAAAAACATGGAATGATTTAAATACATTCTTGAGATTAAAAATTTTGCTCAATCTAAGAAACTATATTACTTATTTACTATTTAATTCTTTCAATGAATAATTGTAATAAATAAATATATCAACATGTTAATGAGTTCAAACACAACCTTTTAGCTTTTGAATAAGTGATTTTATGATAGATATTAACCATATAGCATTTAATAAGTCTCAAGATTTTTGTTATAATGTTTGACAAAATTTATTAATAATAATAATTATAATTTCTTTTATCAAATATAAAATAAAAGCACAATTAAATGGCATCAATGCCTTAAAAGTATGCATAGCATACAAGGTAATGAAACAGTAGCACTATATATATATATATATATATAAAAGATTACATATAAAATTAAAATGAGAATTCCGTATAATATTTCAAAACTTTTATAATGTATTAATTTAAGTGGTCAAAAATATCTTATTTGTAAAAAAATTAAAAAGTTAGTCACTACTTCCACCCCTGCCCTTACTATATATAATTTAAATGGAAAAAAATGGAATAAATTTATTTGATAACATTTTTCATAATTTTTTAATTTTCTCTCTCTATCTCTCACAAATTCTCTAAGAACCTTACTATTATATAAGTTATTCATCAAATAAGGTTGCACTTACAATTTTGGACTGAGGCTGGCCATAAAAGAACGAACTCTTAGAATTAAAAAGTTATGAGATTGAAAGGCTCTGCAACGAAGCAAGTAGTTAGGATTTTGATTCACTTCTGGATCAAGTACTTCCATAACTTCAGGCTCAACGATTTCAAAGTCCTACGAGTCAAACTGCCATCAGGCTACCGGTTTGGTTAGTATGAAAAAACCATTTGGGAGGTTAGGATGGTTTAGACCGGCCTTTAGACTGGAAACCAGGGTCAAGTTGTGAACCGGGCGATTCAAAATGTCCCCCCATTTCCCTCTTTTAACACCAAGATTTTGATATTTCACACTTACGAAGGAGCTGTTTTCTCTCCATGCGTGTGACATCAAGTCACCAACTATCTTATATGGCTATAGCCAGTGGCGGACCGAAGACCTTAACCCAGTGGGGGCAATATTTAATAGGCTTGTATTAAAAAAAGTAATACTAATATTATAATAATATATTTAAATGTTTTATCAAATTTTTGATAGAAAAAGGTGCCTATAATAATGTTTCAAATATGATTATTTTCAATAAAAAAAATACAATGCATGAGTAATAAAAAAAACATATCTTATAAAAAATTATATTTTCCATTAATAAATAAATAAATTTATAATCTTACAGTACTAAATAATTTTTACCAACTTTTAACTAATTACAAACAATTAAATAATCGTATAATTAACCTCATGCTTATTCCATTCGGTTCATGCTATAGCGTATTAGTAATTATTTTATGATTCTCAAAATGATTAGTTAAAATTTTAATCTCTTAAAAAATCATATATCTTTTTAATTATAATTTCATTAAATATTTTATAGAAGTACTTTAATAATGATAATTGAAATTTTAATAGATCATTTTTCAAAATAAATAAAAATATGAAGATATAGTTGAAAAAAAAAACTATTAAATATCCTATATTTAAGGCAAACATGACTTATAAAAAAATGCCTACTAATAAAACTCCACCCCACTGATTACACCATCTTTTCATGTTTTTTTTATTAAAAAAAAGTCCCCTCTTTATTTTGCCCCACTCTTGCACGCAATCGCCCACACACCCAAACTATTCCACTATTCTTCTTCTTCCTATCACTGTTCTTTTTCTTCTATCGAACATCGTCTCTCATTTTCCGGCATGCAAACTTAATTTGAAACCCACTATTGAAATATAAAACTTTCATAAGATTCTCTAATGCTTCATCCATTATCTCCCATTTTCGAATCCATCTCCCCATTTTGTTTCTTCAATCTTGCTCACGGGGTTCAAGTTTTGCAGATGAGAGGGGGCATCATGTAAACTTATCACACGTTAACATGGTAATTTCAAAAATTATATGCCCCCCCCCTCATTTGAACGTAGGTCTGCCTCTGGCTATAGCCTCTAACAAGAAAGAAGAATTAGAAGACGGCGAAGAAGGAGAAGAAACTCTCTTGCGTGTTGTGTCTCTGGTTTCTGTGTCCTCGCTCGCCAATCGTCTAGACTCTTGCGTGCGCCTGTACAGTGGTTGAATGGTGCTGAAGCTTTGCTTATTTTCATCCATAACATATCAGGTGGGGGGGGGGAATAGAGATGTTTTTGACTTTTGAGCAGATGAAGATGGAAAACGCAAAGGGAGGACATAACGTGTGGACTGTGGAGGGAGAGCGGAGGAACAAGTGAAGCATCTACTGAAGGAGTGAAATGTTCAAAACAAATAATAAAATATTTAAAATAGTAAATGGAAAAAACTAGAGATCAGATCAATGACGCCGCCGCATCAATTTCTTTTACTAACTTTCTTGCACTCGGTTTTTACTTTGGGAAGAACAAAATAAATGACTATTATATGCATTATATCTTATTTTAGTATATTTATAAAAATATTTTTCATTTTTAGTTTTAAATATGTTTTGATTTTTTTATCTTTATTCATTTAAAAATTTGTTATTAAATTATTTGAATCTTTGTATTTTATTATTAATTTTTATTTAATTATTATGTTAGCAATTCAACTATTGGTCCAACTGATTAGAGTATGCAAATTATAAATGGCTAATCTTTTCAGTTTAATGTCCAGTACAGCTTTTAAGACACTGAAGAGGCATTTTCTGGTTCTTCAAAATCATTTTTTTAGAGTATGGCGTCTTGCACATATGGTTTATCTTGTTATTTATTTTTAATCCCGATCGTTAGTGTTTTGCAGATGTGAAGAGGTTAATAGGGAGGAGATTCACTGACCCCCATGTTCAGAGTGATATGAAGCTTTGGCCATTTAAGATCATTGGTGGTGAGAATGATAAGCCCAAAATAGTTGTAAATTTTAAATCTCAAGAGAGACACTTTGTACCGGAAGAAATTACATCTATGCTGTTAGCAAAGATGTGTGATATTGCTGAGGCATATCTTGGGTCAACAGTTAAAGATGCAGTTGTTACTGTGCCAGCTTATTTCAATGACTCTCAACGCCAAGCAACTAAAGATGCGGGCAAAATTGCTGGTCTTACTGTTTTGCGAATAATAAATGAACCCACTGCTGCAGCAATTGCATACGCTCTTCTTGACAAGAAAGATAGCTCTGATGAGGAGAGGAACAGTTTTATCTTTGATCTTGGTGGTGGTACCTTTGATGTGTCTCTTTTAACAATAAAAAGGGGTGACTTCAAAGTTAAAGCTGTTGATGGCGACCCACACCTTGGAGGAGAGGACTTTGACAACCGAATGGTGAAATTCTTTGTAAAGGAGTTCAAGAGAAAGCATCATAAGGACATTAGTGAGAGTCCAAAGGCCCTTAGGAGGTTGAGAACTGCGTGTGAGAGGGCAAAACGAATACTCTCATCCCCATCCATTGTTGAGACAACCATTGACGTTGATGCTTTATATGAGGGCATTGACTTTTCTTCAACAATAACTCGCGCTGTGTTTGAGGAAATGAACAAAGACCTCTTCAAAACTTGTATGGAAATTGTAGAGAAGTGTCTTTTACATGCTAAGATGGACAAGAGCAGTATTGATGAGGTTGTACTCATTGGTGGGTCTACAAGAATTCCGAAAATACAACAGCTGTTACAGAACTTCTTTAACGGAAAGGATCTATACAGGAGCATCAACCCTGATGAGGCTGTTGCTTATGGTGCTGCTGTTCAAGCTGCTATCTTAAGTGGGCAAGCAAGTGAACATTTTCCAAATTTTGTTGTGAGGGATGTCACCCCATTGTCTTTAGGGATTCAGGTAGCAGGTGGTCTCATGCATGTGGTAATTCCGAGGAACACTGAAATTCCTACGACGATGTCGATTGATAAGAGACTCACCACTATGATTGACAACCAAACAACAATTCCTATCAGAATTTTTGAGGGTGAGAGAACAATGGCCAATGATAACAACTTACTTGATACGTTTTACATTACCATTCCCCCTGAACAAAAGCTTGTACCTAGGTTCAATGTGTGCTTCTCAATTGATAATAGTGGCATCTTAAGCGTATCTGCCGAGGAAACTAGAACAGGGAACAAGAACAAGGTAACAGTAACTAGTGAAAAAAGAAGACTATCAAAGGAGGAAATTGAAAGGATGGTTCAAGAAGCTGAGCAATTCAAGGCTGATGATGAGAGTTACAAGAAGAGAGTTGAAGCAAAGAATAATGCTTTGGAGAACTATATCAACAACGTCCAGACTGCTATAAATGATGATGAGGACGTCGGCTCAGGGCTTTCCCCAAAAGGCGAGGAGGTCATTGAAAGGGCTTTACATCGGGTCAATGTTGAGCAGGTTGCTGAAGTTGATGAGTCTAAGCATGAGATGAGAAAGCTCGAGAGCATCTTTAATTCCATTATGATGAAAATTAAAGGAGCTAAGGTTTGAATGATGATTGGAGTAATGAGAAACAAAAAACGAAATCTAGAGCTAATACTACAGCAAATCTTAACATGTGATAGCCGCAGCAGATTCTGGTGATGGTAGTGTTGGTTTATGCTTTTTGAGTCATTGTCATCTGCATAGTTATGGTAAGCTTATTATTTCCGTCTTGTGTTTTTCTTAAAAATGTGTGCTTGAGACATTCTGTGGCTTTAATTTGGTGCTGGACATCACACAAAAACTGATATGCTTATGGATGGCCTTTCAATGGCTTGATCTCGTGTGGGAGATATGTTGAATTGAGGAGTGCTAAGAGCCATTTGCTTCAGCTAGGATTTAGATAATTGTAATGAAAAATCCTATCATATATATCCGACGACTTAGATAATGGTGTGCCTTTGATTTATTGGGCTTGATATTACGTGGTAAATCGAATGTATAAGTATTTTTTTTAAACTAAAACCGCCCAACACTTTATTACTTCGGGTAAACAAGTTTAATTTGCCTGTCACATTTGTATCAATAAAATTAAAGTGTGTCTTATATTATAGATAATATTTTATATTGGATATAAACTTGCCCCTAAACTTAATTATAAAACTGCACATGTACTTGTCAACATCTCTTACATCAATATCAATTGATGTAAAACAATTTAACTTTTAATCCTTAATTTTTTTTTTCAATTATTGATTTAGTCTTAAAATCTTAACCCAGTACAATTTAATTCTTCTAGTTAATTGAGTTAAGGATTTATACTTGACAAAAAAAAAAGTAAAGAATTATAGGCAATGAGTTGCACTGAGTTAAAAAATTATAAAGATGGAATTATTTTAAGTTGAAGTTTAAAAATTCAACCAATAATCAAAGAATATAGTTAGAGACTAAATTAGTATAGAAGCTAAACAGAATGCTAATATGACCCTGTCTTTGAAATAAAACCATTCACTAGTTAAGATGACCAACAAAATTTGGATGCGTAGACTCAACTATACCCTCATAAGTTAACCAGTGACAACCTAATAAATATCTTCTTGGAATTGTGATTTGTTTTTCCTATCGATATTTGTTACAATTGTCTCATCTCCTATGATAATGATCTATTGTGCAAACTCTAAGTTCATCATTCATTTCAGAAGAATGTGTTAACAATAGTTTCTAGGTTAAAGTTATCCGCCAGTAATCCTTCTATTATGCAGGATGAGTAGTTTACAATTATATATAGGATGAGTTTATGAATGCAAATACTATGAAAAAATTTACTCCCTACATTTTAAATTATAAGATAATTTTGGAGGAATTTCATTGTCATAAAATGTAAGACAATTTGAGTAAAATAAGGTTTTATTGTTGATATTTTTTTAATATTATCTTTTAAGTAATAATATTGTAGTGTAATGATTAAATGTGTAGAGGTATTTTTGAAAGTTTATAGTTTTGTTTTGAAATAGTAAATTTATAAAGTATTATATTATTATATTTTATTGATATATATATATATATATATAATTTTATTTTAAATTATCTTATAATTTAAAATGAAGGAGCCTTGGGCTGGATTTTCACTTAGGTGAAAAAGAGGAAAAAGAAAAAGAAAATCCAAAGTTGGGCTTGGATTTAAATTTAATTTTTGAAAGAATGACAATAAAATCTCAAAAGAATGAATTAATGATAATTAAGTTATTGATAAAAAGTTTTGTAAAATAAATTATAAACATCAATTCAAATAGTTATAAATAGAAACTTAAATTACAAACTAATTATTATACTCAATATTTAAATACCGTATTTACAATTAAAATTTTTAAATTTATAATTGTTTGAACTGATATTTATAATTAATTTTTTAAAAAAATTATTGGGGACCTTATTAATTTCTTCTGTTGGGACTTAATTGTTATTCTCCCTTAATTTTTTCCTTCTAAAAGATTTAACACTAATGTATCCTAATTTCTATAATCTGCAACTTTGTTGTTATTAATTGGAAAAATTAATTCCAAAGTCCTCATATCTTCATTGTTATCATTATTACAAAAAATATTTTTGAGAGCGTGTCTTTCGAAATGCTTAAAGAAAAAGTGTTATTAAAAATTGAGATGAAATCTATCATATCTATTGACGTAGAGGAGCACTTTTGTAATGAATACTCGCCTATGTCAATATACGAGAACGCTCATGTCAAGAGTACTCTTGTAAATTATAATTTATTTTTAGATATATATATATATATAATATAGGAGTGCTTTACAAAGTATGAGCGCTCCTATATGTAAATATATGGGAGCGTTCATGTCAAAAATACTTCCATAGATCATAATTTATTCTTAGATATATATATATATATATATATAATATATATAAGAATGCTTTACAAAGCGCTCTCGTATATTCTGAAGGGCTTGATAGGAGAATATTTTTGAAGCGCTCCTTAAAATAAATAAAAAACACTCTTATAAAATTATTTTATAATAATATTTTTAATCATGTAGTTAATGTCCGTTTTTTTTTTTTTTTTTGTATTGGATCCTTTAAGTCTATGTCGTGAAGTCCATTAGTCCCTCATCTTTAAAACCATCAAATAGGGACTAACGGTGTTAAGATTTTGTAAGAGAGCGCTGATATGGTGGCACATGGATTATTTATTTATTTTGCTACCTTGAATTTTTACTGAGATTAAAAGTGCCTCGGAGATAAAATATAAAGAGAACTATCAGATCGAAACCCCCATATCTCCTTGTTACCATCATCTCCGCCACAAAAATTTCGACATATCCAAGATGCAAGAAAAGCATAAGCACAAAAGATGCTTTTCAAATTTTCATTGATGTCACATCCCAGATGCTAGAAGCTAGGCAGGAAGAAGCACGAAATCACTAACCTGTTTCCTCTAATGATGAGAACCACGATCAACAACCTCGAACAGCCTTCAATCTTACCAAACTAAGGTTTTTGGGATCTGAATGTTTAAGCTTTATCTTGCAGATCTGGGTTTGACTGCAATTTGAAAAACATTAATGAATATGACTACAAAACTTTGAAGTACATTGTTGACTCGGGTTTGATTGCTTTCTCAAACGAGCAAGGGATTCTTCCCGGATCCAGTTTCAGTGCACCGTGGTGCTCAGCACCAATTAATTTTTTTAAATTTTTTTAAATTACAAAATTATTATTATAATAATAAATAAATATTCTAAAATTATTATTTTAATATTTAAGGAATAAATAAATTTAACTTGTTAAAATTTGGCCTGAACAGTTCATATAAAAATTTTGGTCTGAACAATTAAGAATTATAATAAAAAAATTAGAATTGTAACTAAATATATTTTATAAAATAATTTTTATTTTATTGATTTTGCACAATTGTCCATCTATGAGAAATAATATCATTCAACATTTAAGACATGATCAGGTATTTAAATATAAGTACTTCTTTTTAACAGGAATTTAAACATTATTTTGTTACATAGTAAGAAACTAGCTCATTTTGCTAGATTCAACCCCTATTTTAAACTTTTTAGGTCATTTTTTTTGTATTTTTTTTTTGTAGAGGTAAGGAGTAAAGTAGGAGTGTTCAGCTTGTACGTGTCTTGGTTGGCTTGGTATCGTCCCAATACAATTGAGATAAGTCTCGTCTCGACCTAAAAACAATTGATATGGGACATTGGGGATAGGACAAGAAAGGAGTTCGGAATGGGATGGGAGACGGGATTATCATTGGTACATCCCGTCCCATTCTGGATATTATATACATGTTATTTTATTAATTTAAAAGTTATACATTAAATATATTAATTATATTAATATAATTTATATTTATATTAATTATATCAATTATAATTTCAATACGTGCAATTTTTATTTAAAACTAAATTTTGTTGTATTGATAGCTTTAATGACATAGACTAAATAGGGCAATATCTTTCTTTATAATATATTAATATAATTTATTCTTATATCAATCTATTTAATAACTTTTATTTATATCATATTTCTTACTTTATTTTCAAAAGAATAATTAATTTAGTACATCTCAATTAAAGTAAAAGACTAATGATTTAATATTGTGTTTAAATGACCTGTTATTGCTGCTCTTATAGCCTAAGATCACTTATAATTGCTATTATAATATATAGTTGTGATTAATGTAATTCAATAATTGACTTGTAATTTATGTACTTGTATTATTTTGATTTTAAACTTAATAAATTATATAATTTAAAATTTTAATTAATGTTATTATTCATATTTTTTTCTGACATTACACAATCTATCAGTACGACTGGACATCTCAATTTTGCCCCAATCCTATCTCGATTTCTAACAACACAAGATGACTTTCGGAAAGGGACAAGATATGAGATAGAGATATCCCAATCTTGTCTCCTAAACATCCTTAGAGTAAAGTGCATTACAAGTGAGGTCAAGAGATGTTTATATATGACAGTAAAGGACCACCACCATACATTACACATCACTATTTACAAAAATTACATTGTGTTGTTGGTCTTATTTCCTTTCCTTTTATGGTTTTCACCATTAAAAATTATTTTTCACTCACTATGACAAAGAGAGATGATGATATAACAAAAAAAAAAAATCATTAAAAGGGGAAATGTTTTAGAACTATCTATGAGCCAAAAATCTTGATTTGAAAAAAAATAAATAAATAACTAAAACCTCAGCTTGATGCCATATAGTCTCCTATTGTTACCTATTACATGTAAGATACTATGTTATACATACATACATACATACATATATATATATATATATATATAGGAAAGATAAAAAAAGACACGTGCTTGGCATATTCTGAAGAATAAAAAACCATGTATCAGACACTATATCCATCTAGTCTATTATAAAGAATAAAATGTTAGGATTTGAGGATAGAGAAAGAAAGAGACTGACTTAAAAATATATTTTTATTATTTACTCAAACTACAACATATACAAATACTTACTATTACTATATCTTCTCACAAAAATTTCCCACCACTCTT